TTCAACTGAAATATCCTCTCAAGGTTTATTCAGTCAAACATTTGAAACGTCTATCAAGGGAGAAAATCTTTACTTCTCAAAATCATATCCCATCATTCACCTGTGCTGAAACTGTTATTGCTCAAAAATGGATTCCTAAATCAGAATTACAGTCATATAGTTCTCCAAAAGCTTCAAAAGAGACTGGTTTAGGAACAAAAATAAAACACAAATTTCAAAATATGTGTTATACGAGAAAGGATGGACCCATCCTTCAATGGGTACCAAAGGTTTCTTAATTCTTTTGCAGGTGTCCCTCATGTGTGGTACCTGATATGATTGCTCCACACACATGATGGGAAATTGAGCTGCTGAGCAACCACACATGGCTTCTGAGTAACTCAGCTCAGAACCCGCACTACAACAGAGTTTCTAGATACATCATTCTAGAACCCGATGGCACCGAAAGGCTTCTGAACACCTCAATTCAGAATCCACGCACAAACACGGGATGTCACATACGTCAAGGGGAAGCGATGAAGATATTTTTCTGAGCTTCCAAACAAGTTAAACAAATGCTCCCAGCGCACCTATTCAAGACAAAACATTCTTTAGGGGGAACAAGTGTGCACATTATGGAGGAGAGTACTGGCGTGTATACTACTCCTCTGAGCTGAAAATCAACAAATGCACACATCAACACCGACACACGCCAAGAATAAAGAACAAGTGCATATTCTGAGGGGGGTGTTTCTTTTTCACTCCACCTGGTGCCATACAATGAAGAAAGCACATTCCAAAGGGGGACTTCCTACTTTACTCCCCAGATGACAACAACACTACTTGCAAATTCTAAGGAGGAACATCTCCATTTCCTCCTGGCGCCACACAATGATAGATGCAAGAATCAACTCAAGGATGCACCTTTTGAAGGGGAGTTATAAAGTTCTCTTCCCAAGCACCAAACAATGACAAATGCATCCGACTGAGTGCTCCTGTTGAGGGGGAGCAAAGAGATCAATGAGAGATAAGTCTCAATGGCTTAGTAAACCCAACTGAGCCTACCCAAGAGACAAAGCCGAGAGTGAGTGAGTGAACACTGTGAGAGTGAGGAAGTAGAAGGCTCAACTGAGCGAGAAAACAATATTCAAAGACAAGTCTGCTACCTCAACTGAGCGATCAACTAAAGAATCAATCCTAGTCACTCAAATACTCCGGACAATTCCCCATAGGTACAGGACTGAATTTATTCAGATCCCGGATAGAAGTCGCTGCATCTTGTCCAACAGCGCATGCACAACCCTACCCTAGACCACTCATTTGTCTCTCAACAGACAGGTGTTTAATCAAATTTCACGGGGAACCTCATTATTTATCACCGTCTCCTTCTGAGGCGACTGATACTGACTACAGTGGCCCATAGCCCCACGCCACTGGACTTTCATTGACCACGTCGTATCTAGTTATCACACTCCCAAATGTTTTTAATTTTCTAGGACACAAACACATTTTAGAGTCAGTTGCTAGTCTTCAAGACTTGCGAGAACTTCCATAGGACTCATCTATTATGGATGTAGACCGATGATTGGATGGAAGTCCTGATGTTGCAACATAGAAATCACCAACATTTTCAGGCCATTGCTTTAGAGTTTATCTCTAGAGTGATGATAACGGGAGTGTACGCGACCCCGGGGGGCTACAATTTTTCTTTGAATATCATTTTGATCATTCCATAACGACCAGAGTGACATCTACTATGGATGCCTCACGATGATCGGTCGGAAGTCCTGTTAGAGCTTTACCGTTTCTATCATTATATACAGGCCATACATCAGTGTTTACATTGATGTTGTGATAACGGAACACCTCAGTGTATCCGGACGTTTAAGTTTTTGTTTTGCAGATTTAAAGGACGAACACAGGCATGACGTCCCGACTCATCGGATCGTCATGAGGGGGAGAGCGGTCCAAATGCTTATGAAATTTCAAAGATCATTCTCGGACGCTTCTCTCCTCCAACAACAAACATTTGCCCACATCGGCCCACTCAGCTTCTTATCAAATGGTCAGCATATATTCACGACTCAATCATCATTTTCCACTGTTCCACCGACAAGTTCTCCACAAAAGCATTGACATCAAAAGACTACATTCTGGAGGAGACTAAGGTCAGATACTCAAGAATTGAAGAAGAATCATGTGTGTGCCTGAAGCAAGTCAAGAATATTCATTCTAGAGGCACCATCGGATTTCATTCAAGCTGATCAAGAGCAACTTCTGAAAGGCAAGGACTACATGCAAGATTTTGAAAATCCTTAAACCCCTGACATCAAAGATCAAATTACCAAGAAGACAACAAAGGGGAGATTGCAAAGAGTTCTTCACGAAGTCTTTCTAAGAACACAAAAGAAGCTAATATCCTCTGAAGATCAAGACTCAAAAATAAACCGTGCTTCATCGACAATTGAACACAAAGGGGGAGAATGTTAGGAATATTATTTATTGTGTTCAATATATTTGTAATTTATTTATTGAGTCTTTGTATTTAATTAGATTAGCTGAGAGAGAATTAGGCACAATTGATTAAGTGTTCTAATAGCCCACACGCATGCCTAGTAGCTTCCTAATTATATTAGGAAGTTCGAGTCTCTCACCTATAAATATAGGCTGAGATGGCCGAAATACTTGAGGGTTTCACAATTAGAATAGCCATATCATTCTCGAAACTCTCTCTAGAATCAAAGTCTCTACACATTCTATTCTGCATATTATTCTCTGTAGAGCCAGTAGATTAGAATTCTCTCTCATGCTTAATCGTTCGAGTACCATGTATTGTTCTTCATCGAATCATCATTATAAATACACGGTATAAGTTGATGTTGAATTTCTCTTCCACTGTTTAAATTCTTCATAATATTTATAGATTAATCGACTGCTGAAATCTGGGCATACATCACACAAGATGTGTGCAAAAGAGAGGCCTTTTCACACCAGGAACTACAGAAGCTATGTCATTAGAGGAGGCAGTCAAGTGAGCAATTATTGATGCAGGTTGACAAAGAGTGATTGTGGAATCAGATGCTCAACAAGTTGTAAAATACATAACACACATGGAAAGACTGCATTATAATGATGGTATTTCTAAGGAGATTAGACATATGATGGCAGATTTTTGGTGATATTATTTTCCAATTTGTGCACCAGTCTGCGAACCAGGTTACTCATGCACTTGCAAGGGAAGCATGTTCAGGGTTAATCAGACATATGATGGCAGGGATGCACTTGCTCATGTACTTCGGGTTGATGATTGTTCTGGTTCATGATCATTAATGAAGTTATTTTTTGCCAAAAATCATTCTTCTTCTCCAATTTCTCATGTTGAAGAGGACATTAAAAATTTGACTTCTTTACACAAATATATTTTTAATTTTTTTAGGGCCGCTTTTCTAACCTTCTCAATCTTCCTTTTTTCTTTCTCCTATCCAGATTCAATCATTTTTATTACGCCTTGGAATTAATTAAATTGATAAATTTAATTATAATTGAAAATATTTACCTGGCAAAATCAACAAATCATAACACAAACACTCCATAGATGACAATCAACAATTAAGCAATCAAACAATCAACTATGAATGAAATCAATTAAAAGACTAATCTATTAATCATTTCAATCCATAATCAATAAAAGAAAAAGTCTAAAACTGCAAAACAGTTATTACACCTTAATTGATTAAGAAATAAGAAAGGACGTCGGAGGACAGCTTTTCGCCTTTTCTCTATTCTTGGGCCTAGCGGGTTGGTTTGGCTGAAAAAAAGTATTGATTTATGTCTGAAAATTCAGGCTACTCACACCTATTATAAAGAAATAAATATGGATCTGTTGTAAATTCCTGAGAATGACAAGTGTGAATTGTTCATCCTTGTCATCAGGACACTAATCCAATTTCCATCCTTGTAATAGACAGATGGCTAGGTTAAATGTTGCCAGCATATTATGTAGAATGATTCTTTGATGATTCATCACCAAGCTCCACCAGTATAAATAGGGGTTTGGTGATGCCTTGTAAAGACACTCAGAAAAATCAGAAATTCTCAGATTAAGAAGAAGATATTTAGAACTTTTATTAATTTATCTATCTCTTAAATTTGCTCTTCATATTCTTCATTTCACAACACGTTATCAGCACGAATCTGCTCAAACTCTCCAAGAAATCATCATCTCCTACAGGTGTTAACAATAATATCTATTATCTTCTTTAATCTTCTGCAATCACAATAAATGATTTAGTATTCAAACTTTGAAAGAAAGCTCAGTTCTTTTTTTTTAAAACCGTACACATCATAATTATACCAAAAGATTTAAAGAAAGTATGAATAATATACATGCCTTAGCTTCAAGATTTCAGGATATTCTTTTTTCTTCTTCTTCTATTATCTTGATACATAGTTCAGTCCTTAAAATGATGTAGCCGAAGAATATATGACTTGAGAAAATATACTTCATAGTTGATAGCAAATTAGAAGATCGTGTGTGCATCGTAATTATAGAGTAGTAAGTAAAGGAAAAACAATGAAAGAGATAAATGATGAAAATAAACACTACAACAAAGTGGGTCTTTCGCGTCGACATTTTGTTGACGCAAAAAGTAGCAAATCGACGCAAATAACTTATTTGCGTCCACCTGTCGACGCAAAAAGGTCGACACAAATATTCGGACGCAAATAGTTCTTTTGCGTCGACCGTATGCGACGCTAATAATAAAAACATATTTGCGTCGACATGTGAACGGAAAAGATAGTACGGGTATAATCAGCTACATGTCGACGCAAAAGACTATAACATTAAATGTGTCAACGCGTCGACGCAAATAATCAGATCAATTGCGTCAACATGTTGACGCAAAAGATGATATCCTCATTTAATTCTACCAAATTTTTGCGTCAATGTGTCAACGCAAATAATTAAAAAAAATTGTATATGTTCATTTTATTTTGTCTATTTGCTCCTGTTACACAATTTTTAATCAAGATCAAAGTTGACAAAATCAAAATGACAAAATCTAAGATAATTCCCAACATATCAATTCATTGAATGTCTAATAATATTAAATTAACGTCAAAATTAAAGTAATTCATCTCAAACAAAGTCATAATTCAAGCAAATATAAATTCATCCACCTTAACAAATTAGAACGCGTATTAAACATGCTTTCACTAATTCTAATCATCATCATTGTGGCTCTCATCAGGTTGATTCGCACTGGACATCGAAGGAGCATCGCTTCCGGAGGCGCGTGAAGGCAACTGAAAGCTGGGAATAAAATGTCGTAGAGCACTGAGTATCAATTCCTGATTTGCCCGCAATTCACTTATCTGAGCATCACGGTGATCTTGCAATGTAGAAGTAGCACCATCTTCCAAGCGACGCGGTGCACTCTTTGACAGTGTAGGGCCTACTCCACTTTGTCGTCCTCGATGATTCTTCAAGTTTCGGTTCATGATCTCAATTTCATTTATTGATGAAGATGACCCTGCTTGTTCTAGTTGTGTCTGGTACTCCTCGCTCATTTGGACCTATCAAATTATATACCAAAACAATTACATATTATTAAGGATACAATTAATTAAAAAATCAAATACTTACATATTTTTCATGTGCTTCTTTAGTCCTCCATTCACCACTACGAGTCAGGCGTTGATCCTTCCGATTCTCAAGAGCCGAAGATTGCTCACCAGTTATCGGATTATCCTATATAGTATTCATTACAATAAACAAACATATAAAAATGATTATAAGTAACATGAACATAAGATAACTAACTTCATTTTTTATGATTATAACCACCATAAAAATGCCAAAAAAAATTCAAAAAAATGCAAGAACATATGCAAAAAATAGTCCAAAAACATTAATGAAATCCAATAAAAAATTGCCTGCAAAAATTTGCACCACAAAAATATTATTAGAACACGCATTCATATTTCATCACACACTACTCCCAAATATTCAATCACTCAACACTAATCAACACCACAATTTAAAATGTAATGACAACGATTAAGGTCTTACTTTTTCGTGCATGTATCGGGCATATGATTTTCTTCCATGCCCACTTTTATCATCACTTGATTCTCTATTTTGTATATTTTTTCCAGAGATCTCCTGTGAAAGAAGGAAACTAAGTTAAAACTTCAAATTTTAACTACATAATGAAATACATATGCTCATAGTTAACCTTGAACTTTGTTGAATTGAATCTCTCACAACACCTCTGCCAATGGTCATCACTTCGTACATTTACTAGTTTCTTAGCTTGCATACCTCCATTGTTTTTAAAATACACAGATAAATCACTTTTCCAATCATTGTAAGACTCTCGAGCATCACGATTCAGCACTTCATCAAATTCACGCTCATTCTCAAACTCAAACCAATCCTTCAATATATGAAAACATGGTCAATGTTATAATTAATAAACCTAATAAAAAACAAGACAACTTTTTTAATATTTACCAGCATCCGCTGGTGGATCATTGCTTTTTGACAAGCCGGAACATCGTCCCACCTATCGTGGAATGGCTCGCAACAGTCTCGTGTGTGTATCCCAATTGCACTTGACCACCAAGAAGCTTTCGGCCCTACTGCTTTCCATGTTTTCCTTAGTGAATCAAAACTAATCTTGATCTTTCCGTGTTTAGATACATCATTTATGATGTTGTTTCCCTTCGCTAATCCTCTCCCTTTTCGCTTTGCTTTCTCACTTCTACGTGTTTCTGATGCTACACATATCAGTAAACAACGTTTATGTTAGTATATAAATCATGCATAATTTAAAGTATAAGAAATAGTAAAGCATTTGAATTACATGATGATACCTAACTCACACGAACGGGGTAATATTCTACCAGGACCTGGTGGAGGTTGTGCTCCTCCACTTGAAATTCAACAAAAAGTACAAAAAAAGAAACAAGAACACTAAGGTTTATGTAGTTAAACAAAAAGGCTAGCTGCTTTTTGCATATGTAGGATTGTTGCTATGATATACGAAGTATAACTCACATATCCTCAACAAACCAAGAAAAACACCACAACTCTGCTTATAACTTAAATGAGTAAGAATACTTCAGCTAAGAATGCACTCAGTTTACATTTTTTTAGTTATGCCTAATTTGACTACATGAGGTTGGAGTTTATCATTGAAATTGATTCAATTCCCATAAACATTTAAGCAACATAACAAATTTTTATACTACGGATCTTCCTTCTTATATACTCACTTTTTGCAGTACATATACAGAGTATATGATACAGAATTAAAGTGAAACTCATTTATGGTGTTTTGTTTTTCAATTATGAAAAGGTCAAAAATATGATTCTTTAGACGTTTTCCACAAAAGTACTCTAATACCAGACCAACAATAGTACTATTTCAGTCACTGTGTTTAACATTATGAGTTACTGATTTGCAATATCAGTCACTAGTCACTACAACAATTACTAGTTTACTACCATAGTTCAAATCGGATATAGTGACTGTTAATCATAATTAGTGAGCAACGCATAGAGTCACTATAACCCCGCCACCTGTGAACAATATTTGAAAGACAAAATATCTTAGTGACTAGTATTAGCTAATACTAGAGCAGTTGTAACTACTCCATATTTTCCAGCAGAAACTTCTTCCATCAACGACAACAGCATTCGACTAGAATATAAATAAAAATGAATTTGTTTTTCTTGTATGCCACCCCTGACAACCTTATAACACCAAAACGTGCTCTTATCTCACAGATAGGTATCATTCACAAAAATTAGCCGACCAGACCCTAATAATTATGCTCTAACCTAAAGTAATTAATCAAAGTAGCTTTCGTAGATACTTTTACCTAATACGAATTAATTGACAACAGAAATACCGATTAACAAGCAATTAACAGGACGAATTCGAGGGGAAAAAACGTGGAGGAGGAAGTAAATCTGAAATTCGGAGGAAGAATATTACCGTAGACGTACGGCGAGTCGTTCTCTTGAGCAGATTTTGGACGTAAATCTGAACTGCAGCTCGTTGCGGTGCTAAACAGAGACTATTTCCTCATCAAGACTGATCCTCCATTGAGCTTGAGCTGTTCTTTCGCTTTTGCCCTAGACATCGGGCGAGTGTTGTTTTAAATTAGCTTCACTAGCGTCGAAGGAGAGACACTAAAGTTTTCCCTTTTTTAAATATTTTTACATTTCGATTTTTGCGTCCACATCATCAACGCTAATGTTTTTTAAAAAAATCGGACAACTTTTAGCATCAACAATTTAACGCAAATTCGAAAAAATTGAATTTTTTTCCGGATCACTGCTCAATGTTATTCGCGTCGGCTTGTCGATGCAAATTGTACGTTATTCGCGTCCACTAACGTCGACGCTAAAAGATTCGACACAAATAGTACTATTTCTTGTAGTGAAAATAAGAAGTAAAGAAAAGAAAGTAAAACCGAAAAGAAGAAGTTAACAAGGATATTTATATATTAAAAGTGAAGGGTTAGGCTGAGAAATGAGTTACGTGTCTTACATGCAGAATTTTACTGATCATTATTTGATTAAATTCACTAGATGACATGATCTTGTCTTGATGAGAGAGGTGTTTTGTTTCTTTGTTATCACGGGTGATATAAAACAAACTTCACTCAGCAATATAGTAATTTAAAATTAATACCCACTGCTTCTACTACCAAACCATAACTAACCGTCACTATTTTATAAATTTAATGCGCTTAAATAATTTTGTCAATAACAAATTCGGTGGTCCTATGGCTGCCATTTTTTTTAATTTCCTAAATAACAATATCAACAGGAGTTATAGTATATATACAATGATTTAATAGTCACATAACTACGAAACTAGATCACATGCATGATACATCTATTAGTTTATTATATTTACTTTTCTTGTAAATCCATTTAGACACGATCGATATTTACTAGATTATAATTTATTACATCGAATACATCTTCATTTACATTATATTATAGAATAAACTAATTACTATTTATTTAATGCTCCTAGAAACGATTACATTAACATAGATAATATAAATAGATTTATTTACTCATTAAAGCAATATTGTTGTAGTATCATGGCAAATATTAGCAAGAGAGAATTTGACGTTCTTGATTTGTCTGGCCAAAAATATTTGGAATGGAAAGTGGATGCTTTAGCACATTTGAAGGCTAACGGTCTAGAAGACACTATTGAAATCAATAATCAATCATCCTCCCAAGACAAAGCAAAAGCTATAATTTTCCTCCGTCACCATCTCCATGAGAGTCTCAAATTTGAATATCTTTTTGTTGATGACCCAAAAGAATTATGGGACAATTTACAGGAGAGATATGGCCACCAACAAAAGGTCCTTTTGCCTAAAGCTCAGTACGACTGGATCAATTTAAGATTCTAGGATTTCAAATCAATCAGACCATAATTCTGCCATGTTCCAAATAACATCTAAGTTAAAGTTATGCGGACAAAAAGTCACTGATGCTGATATGTTGGAGAAAACCTTTTCTACAATGCATATTTCTAATATGTTGCTACATCATCAATATAGAGAAAAGGGTTTTAAAAAATACTCCGACTTAATATCAGTATTATTGGTAGCTGAGCAAAATAATGATCTTTTGATGAAAAATCATAATCTGAGACCCACTGGTTCTAGTCCTTCGGTTTATGGTCCATCTGGCCATAATTTAGTCACTGAATCAAATGCAACATACAGTGACAGTAAAAGGCATTTTAAACGTGGGCATTTTAATGGTCATAAAAACAAGTCACACCGAGAATATAAACAGGTCAATAGACCAAATTATAAGGGCAGGGGCAAAGAAAAGACTCATCAAATAAATCGCCCTCCAAAAACTTCGGTAAAGACGACTTGTTATAAATGTGGCATGACGGGACATTGGGCTAACAAATGCCGTACTGCAAAGCATCTGGTGGAATTATTTCAAGCTTCCATGAATTTGAACAACGGCAAAAATATGGAAGCTAATTATGTCAACGATACGACTCCACCTCTGCCAAAATTTGACGTGTCCGACTTTTTCACGGATAATGCCATTATGGACGACGCTTTTGCAATAAACCAAAATGTCACAAAATAAAATATTAGACTTCAATCCTTATGTTCTAACATATTGGTTTTATGTACTTTTTCTTTCTTCCCTTTTTTTCTTTTGTTTTTAAATAAATGTGTGTAATATATGTACTTTTTGTTAAAATATATGCACAATTTGTGATCAAGCTTATGTTTATTTACACATTTTGAAGATATGGATCACTCAAATGATAAAGAGCTATGTCTGATAGACAGCGCCACGACGCACACCATTTTGAGAAATAAAATATATTTCTCTCAAATGACTTTAGTTGAGGCTAAAGTCAATATCATATCAGGTGTTGCGAAGCTCATTGAAGGCTCTGGGAAAGCATATGTGATGCTCCCTAACAAGACAAAAATTATTATAAATGACGCTTTATACTCTAGCAAATTGCGGAGAAATTTATTAAGTTTTAAAGATATGCGTCAAAATGGTTATCACATAGAAACCATGAATGAAAACCAAAAGGAATATATTTGTCTTACGACAACTAAATCTGGCACTAAATATATTTGTGAAAAAATGTCAGCATATTCCTCAGGACTATATTTCACATATATAAGTCCATTCGAAATAAATTTGGTTTCTAACACAAAGTTAGATGATCAAAAAACATTCATGTTGTGGCATGACCGTTTAGGTCACCCAGGCCAAGTAATGATGCATAAAATCATTAAGACTTCACTTGGACACCCATTAAAGAATATCAGGGTTCCATTATCAAGTGATTTACCTTGTAAGGCCTGTTCTCTTAGCAAAATGATCATTAGGCCTTCTATAAACAAAATTGCAACTGAATCACCTCCATTTTTAGAAAGGATTCAAGGAGATATTTGTGGGCCGGTAGCTCCACCATGTGGACCATTTCGATATTTTATGGTGTTGATTGATGCTTCAACACGCTGGTCATATGTCAGTCTTTTATCGACTAGAAATTTAGCATTTGCTAAACTCCTTGCTCAAATTATATGCTTAAGAGCTTATTTTTCGGATCATTCTATAAAAAGAATCTGACTTGATAATGCAGGAGAATTTACATCCCAATCATTTAACGACTATTGTATGTCGATTGGGATTGATGTGGAGCACACTGTTGCTCATGTCCATACACAAAATGGTCTTGCTGAATCTTTGATTAAACGATTACAATTAATCGCCAGACCATTATTAATGAAGTGTAACTTACCTTCATCAGCTTGGGGACATGCTATTTTACATGCAGCAAATTTAGTTCGACTTAGACCTGTTATGAAATTGATGTAACGTACCTCGAAAGTACAGCAGCGGAAGTTTAAAATTTTCCCAAACAGATCTTCCCTGATTATGACAAAATAACGAATATGATAATAATAACAGATCTGAGTTAGAACTTACCGATCTTCTAACCTAGCGGTGATAATCCTTGACCTTTGGTATCCACGTGATTTCTCCTTTCCGAAAGAACGGTTAGATCTCCCTAAGAGAAAGACTAAGAAATCTCTTCGCAGGGAAATAAACTGGTAATACTGAATCTGAAAACTGGTATATAAATTATGAAGGAGAAGGATGTATTTATACTAGTTCTAAATTAGTTTCCCAATCACAATGAAAGTGTTCTTCATTAATGAGTTTTAATCCTATTAGGACCAAAACTCATTATTAATTTAATAGTTGAATAAAACAAAATTAATAATAATAATAATAATAATAATAATAATAATAATAATAATAATAACAATAGAGAAGTGGCTGCACGCCACTCTCTATTTGTTATATCTAAATTATTATTTATTTTCTTTTTCTTTTCCTTTTAGTTCCAAATCATAAAAGTAAATAGCAACTTTATTTAATAATAAATACATCTTAATTAAGTACAATAAATCTAATTTATTCTACTTAATTAATTCTATCAAATAGAACTCTCCTTCAACTTCATGAATTAAATATGTTTAAATCTAATCAATATTTAACCCATTTTCAGTATTACTAATCAAATATTATTTAATCCAATCAATAATATTTAATTCTTTCTAACAATTCAATCGGAAGGTATAATCACTTGTTGTGTGACCCATAGGGCCTTATATATTAAGCATTAATCAAATTAAGGTCTTAGTAGAATCTCTAGACGATTTACCAGACAAACTTAATATATAAGGACGTTTGCGAGGACTATTCAAACTCCCTGTAATATAGAGCTCATAGTGATACGGTCCTTTCATTCAGCGAACATTCAACTAAGTCTAGAAAATGATATTGTGTCTATTCCAATAACTTAGTTTCTGTCTCTCAATCTTTCTGGATGATCCATAACGATCATATTCGATATCCAAAACGAATATATCTTTGCATTGGCCAATGACTTTATGATCCATCTAGATATGAGAAGTAGAATGTTCTCTCTTAATCTATTATGAGGAATGAATCCTTTCTTGGCTCAACTACTACTCCATGTGCTTCGTGATGCACCCAACACATGCCGTATCTACCCCGATTGGAGTGCAAGCGTTGGTCATGGTCAAAGTACATCACTCCGCACATGTAGTACGTATTGACCTCAAGTCGGAGGACTATTACACCACTCTATACACCGATAATCCCATAGACACATGAATAGAACTTATCAAATGGTTTCTCGGTGGGTATGCCAATATTCTCTAAAATATCTATGTGACCATCATGAATTACAGGAACTCATAGTTGTGAGATCAACTGTACTTTCTAAAAGTATGACGCAGTCCACATACCAATCTTATCGCATATCATCAATATATCATTCTTGATGATCATTGATTGAGGCTATTTTAGGACCTTATGTTATATCATATAAGCTCTCACTTACTCATTGACAACATAAGTCCAAGGGAACACAATTATGAATAAGATATTGACATTCAAAATACTTAATCATCAATATGTAATACCATATATATCAAATATATAAAACTGAATGTGATCAAGTACATATATCTTTAAAAAATGATTGTCGCTAGGACATATATACTAACAAGACCGACTGCATATCATGAATATTCCCCATTGCAATTAGTTACAGGACAAGA